CACAACAAATTTCTGACATGTGGGACTAATAAAGGTTATCTTATCTTATCTTATCTTATCTTACCTTACTTTATCTTATCTTATCTTATCTTATCTTATCTTATCTTATCTTATCTTATCTTATCTTATCTTATCTTATCTTATCTTATCTTATCTTATCTTACTTCTTCAGCCATTCACTTGTCCAGTTTCCTCAAATTTCTTAAGGACACACTCCACACCATGTTAAGATATGCCAGGTTGTCACCTTATACCTTATACCTTATTTTGTAGATTCAACAAAAGAAACAGGAACTAGTAACAAAGTGCCTAAAGACACAATTTAAAATTTAATGCCAAATGAAACACGATTCTTTGCTAACTGGTCTGTTATGTGTAAACACAATAGTAGTTCAAGTGTTTTGGCTACAACTAACAGACAGACCGAACTGAAAATGAACCAGAAAGCAGCAGATCTCCAAAAAAAGAGAGAGCTTTGAATCACCTTCAGAAAGCCCGGGGAACTCTTGCTCTAGAATACTTAAAAATTGGCAGAAAGTCTGGCTTCTTGGAAACAAAATATAAAGAAATGAGGGGCGAGTCAAGACTTTTGCATGGACATTTGGTATTTGGTATAATTTACAATTTGGTATTATTAGTTTGTCCTTTCCTGCTCTGTCTTTCTCTCATCCTTCTCTGCATCTTCTATATCATAGGTGTCAAACTCTGGCCCGCGGGCCAAATTTGGCCCGCAGCCTAATTACATTTGGCCCGCAAAGCCATACCAAATTACTATTAGAGCTGGCCTACTGGTATTATACAGCTAATATATATATTGTTTAGTATTAAGCTTTGCTTGTTCCATATTCAGTTTTTCAGCAAAACTTGTTTGAGTCCATAAGAAAAGATTCATTCTTATATCTAGAGGAAGTTTTTTTTGTAAATAAATATTAATGTTAGCCCGTGACTTTGTTCCAGTTTTGAATTTTGGCCCACTGTGTATTTGAGTTTGACACCCCTGTTCTATATTATACATTCTATATTATGTATTTACACAATTACAGGTCAGGAGAACCTTTTCACACCCTGCTGCCTAAAATGAAGTTCAATTATATAATCTAGAACAGTATTATATTATGAGATTATTAAGGGATCCTAATAAATTTCAAAGTGTAATATAGTGATTCAGCAGTGTTTGACCTACTCACATCTGCGCATTGGAGCGAACAACGGCCTCTTCCGTTTACTTATGATTATGAGCATCAGTGAGTAGCTACTGCAGATCATCGCATTTGCTGTGTTTTATAACAAAGCATATTTATATGTCAGTAAAATAACATTTTTCATATATATACATAAGTCGATCTAAATGTATTAATGTACGCCGGTCTATCGAGTTCCATGGTGAACATGCGTATGTTTCTGCGCAGGTTTGATCCACCTGAACTGAGTGGACGGTGACAAATGCGGAAGTGTCATGGCGCCGTGCTGCAGAATCATCAACACTGTCATGCAGTGTCCCACACAGCACTGGTAGAAACAGTCTGTAATGACTTTGGGGTTTTGGATTAATATTTCATAAGGACGTCAGAGGGACACTAACGTAAGTAGGCGAGTAAGCACAGCATGTGAAAAGTTCATCATGAAAGTTAAAACAAAGTGTCCTGTGTCGTCGTATTTCACTGGAATGTGGCCACGTGTTGCTGAGGTTGTCTAAAACCATTTCTAAGAATAAAAATATATCTGAAGGATCTCTGTTTATACAATAACGTGTCAGTAATTTATGGCACAGTGTTATAAGCGCTACTTTAGTAAAAACACAAAAAGTAGAAGCTCAGATTTACATTGTTGTCTGTGTTCAGAAAAAAAAAAGATAATGTATATTACAACGAAATTAATAAGTACATACTACATGAATCAATTATGTCAACAGTATGTTCTGCGGTCTTATAGAGCAGGATGTGTATCTATATTCACCCTTTAAAATCTGAAGTCATATTTAAACATATAATACTATATAATATAAACATTTAATCCCTTTTAACATTAAGATTTTAATAAAAAAAAAATTAAGAAAATTCTATTTCTGCTTTCATGCTGCATTGGACCAATGGGACAAGCTGTACCATTTAAAAACAAATAAATAAATAAATCAGTAGCTAGTTTAATTCAAATACAGCAAAACTGTGGAGATTCTCAGATGGTCTGTCCTGTAATCATAACAGAGAGAATAATTTAGTTAAATATATCTATATGTCTCATTTTCAAGACCTATTCTACTTACCAGTTCCAATCTTTGTGGAAGTAGAGTTTAAAATGTGCTAAAAGGCATAAGTATCAATGTAAAAATGTTCATACATAAAGTAAATATAGCTAAACAGTTAAGAGTAATCAATAGGCAGTAGCAGTAAGTAGCCTTGCAAGGCCAATTTGGCCATGTCTACATACTGTGATTGGTAATCTGATACAGGACTGTAACCCTTGGCAATCGGCATGCTGACTGTTGAAATGTGTGTTATATATAAATATGAGAATGTTATAAGAAACAATGTTAATATTTGTAATATCCATCCCATGGTCGATCCCCTGCTTTTGCCCCAATTCAGGATGTCAGACGCAGGTTCAGGCGACCCCGGTGGTCGTGTGCCGACTCCTGGAGGGAGCGGTAACAAAGGACTCCTGATGAGCCGTCGCCCGTCAGCTGGCATCTCTCCTGGCCGCCTCCCCACGATGCGATCCAGAGACCTCACATTAGGAGGAGTGAAGAAGGTCTGACATGCTTCTGTTTCACTAACTTTCTCACTTCATTTAACAACAACAACAACAACAACAACAACAAAAAGCGCAAATGGATACTTTAAATGAATACATTTGTTGTCTCATCTCTTGAATTTAACGTTCTTCTTTTTACTCTTTAGAAAACGTTTACACCCAACATTATTGGCCGAAAAGTTAAAGAAGAGTAAGTTCCCGAAACACTAAATAAATAAAATACAGACATCCAAAGCCAGCTGTTTCTTTGACTGTTATTTTCTCACACTAGAACAAAAGTTGAAGATGGGCAGAGGAGAGAGAGGAAGGAAACTGATCGAGGTCGGGGTCCCAGAATGAGAGGCAGGGGCCGAGGCTATCAAGAGCTCATCCAGTCGCACTCCATTTTTGAACAGGGGCCCGGAGACATGATGATGAAAAAGAGAGGTGGGAGACCCGGTGCTCCTTACACGTCGTTTACGTGTGTGTCTTACAGAGTCTCTATCGCACCAGCATAATTCTGTGTCACCCACACACACAGGCGGCTATGAAAGCGAGAGAGACGCTCCAAGCATGGGACCCTCGCCCATCATTAATATCAAAAAGGAAAAGCGAGAAACCGAGGAGGAGACCAAAGAGATCCTGCGCAAGCTGGAACGAGACAATGTGAGTCTCTTGGTTTTCACTCGTCTTTGTTTGCGTAACTAAGTACGTACAATTTCATTTATATAGCACCTTTAGAATAAGACCTAAGGGACTTGCTGGAGTAAAACATTCACTGATGTAACCTGGTTCTAGTCCAAGCTCTAAACGTCAGAACGACAATCTTGAAATGGGCTCTGAGTTCAGTGGGGAGCCGGTGCAGCTGGATCAACAAAGGTTTAAATGTATTTTTGAACAACCTGCAGATGTTCCATGGAGTTTTTGCTTAGACAAGTAAAGGATTATATCTTTTTCCCAATGCTTATTGTGTTCTTTTAGTTTGTGGATGATCCCTTCCTGCGGAGTGAGAAGAGGAGCTGCCCTGTCCAGCTCCCCCTCGCTGTGTCAGGATGGGGATTCAAGGATGAATTTAGTGACGCTCCGATTAGAAATGAGAAGAAAGAGGAGGATTGTGAACCGATGGAGCCTGCAGCTGAAGGTAAATGTTTGTACCTGCGTTTAACTCAGAACTTATTTAATTTCATTTGCAGCATCATGAAATGAATCGTAACTTTGTCTTCAGTGAAACAAGAGCCAGAGGAAATTGAAATAAAGAAGCCCGAGGCAACTTTCAGGCCTCCTCCTCTCCCCGAGCCCGAAGTACTCCCTGACCTGCTGCACAGATGGAGTCTGAGCAAAGCGGAGGAGCTTTTCTTCATTCAGCTACCAGACTCGCTGCCCGGGCAGCCTCCCACAAAAGAGCACAAGCCGGTGAAAACAGAGGTGCAGTCAGAGGATGGGCAGTCTGTGCTCCTGAAAACAGAATCAGAGGTAAGCATACAGCTGGGGTCCAAGTTTAAGTCCACGATGTTGTCGTGTTTTTCTGAGAAGGTGGTGTTTTTATACCAAACAGGAGGAGAAAGCTGAGGACAACAGCTGCAATCTGAAGGATCTGCGGGAGGGTGTTGTGGGAAAGATGCTGGTACGCAAGTCTGGCCGAGTGCAGCTCATACTGGGGCAGGTGACGCTCGATGTGTCTCTAGGAACATCCTGCTCTTTCCTGCAGGTACAACACAAATTTATTTCTTTGAGGATTTTTTATGTATTTTTCTGAGTAATGTATTTATTTCCATCTTCCAACATCCTCCTCCGATCTGTTGTATTTGTATTAAAAACATTTCTGACGTGCTTTTCTTTCCATCCCTTCTATTCACAGGAACTTGTCTCTATCAATACAGAGGGGAAAACGGGTAACTTGACTGTATTAGGGAACGTCAAACACAAAATGGTTTGCTCACCGGACTTTGAAGCTCTGCTGGAGAGCAGTTCTTGATGCTCATCAGAGGAGCAGGCGACTGATCCTCCTCAAGTCCGATGGACACCTGCGGAGAAGTTGACAAAAGGCTAGATACTACAAGGCTGCTGCACCCGTAAGGCTTACAAGTACAGAGGTAGCTGACTGAGATTTTGTGTTTACAGAGTGGTTATAAAACACTATCTATAATTAGGAAACAAAAGTTTTATTTTCTCTCATTCATAGAGTTTATTAATTCATGGTTGTAAGCTTGAATGACGTGCCAAGTATCAGTACCATTTTTCCTTCTCTGTATCTGAAATTACTTGAAAAGACTTTACATGAATGTAAATGTGTGAATAAAAAGGGTGGGGTTTTTTTGTTATCAAAGTATTTTCAATTGTTTAAAGGTTGGTTTGTGGAAATTACAAAAAAAAAAATTTTTTTTAAAAAACATCAACAACAAAGGCTTTATTTTTTTGTTTCGGGAGAATTTGCTATTACGTGAAGAGTAATATTAGAAAAGGTGTATTAATTCTATCATTCTGATCCAGTACAAATAGCAGGTTTGTACTAATATTTCCTATTTTGTTTAGTTGTGGTCAAAAAATGTTAAATACAGTAAGACAGTTTTAAATATAGTGCAGAAATTCTCAACAGGACTGAGCTTGGGGCTTTGGGAAGGCCATTCAAGAAACTTAATGTTAGCCTGTTTATCTAATCCAAAACCAGGTTTGATGTGTTTTGGGTCATTGTCTTGTTCTTGGTTGGCATCCAGCAGTTTCCCGTTCATGGCAGGCTTGAGCTTTGGTGATTCCTGGGTTGTTCTAACAATTTACTCTCATCTAAGGGTGATAGTTTATGACCTCTTTTTAGACCTTAAAAAAGTAGTGAGACATCTGAATAACTTTTATTTAAGGACAGCTGGTTAAACTGATGATCTTAGAATTTGCAGTGTTTAGAAATGGCTCAGGGAGGTCTTGACAACTTGTGTAAATCTACAATTCTCCTTTTTTGGTCTTCACTGAGTTCCTTGAGTTCCTTTGTTTTCTTGTTGTTCTGAGTGGTGGTCCAATGAGTGATGTCAAACATCCATATGCTAGCAAAAAGAAACTAGCAGTTAAAGTTAATAGGTCTTGAACTTGTCAAGTTAAAAGACATTGTAGAACCTTGAACACCATTTATTAAAAGATTTAAGAAAGTGGATGTATACTTTTGAGCCTGCTTGGACTGGAAAAAAATCCGAAATAACTCCTTCCATCCTGAGAAAAAGAACGCTTTAAAGAAATCTTTAAAGTCCCAAATTATCATGATATTCCTCCCCATGGTTAGTGGATGTAAACCTCTGACCACGCGCGTGGCAAAGTTGCTCTATAGCGCCACTAGTGGTTATAAAGAATAAAATCCCAATAAAGTATTCAACTGTAATAGCGTACATGTACCACCAGAGGTCAGCACCGCTCGGTGGTGATGGTGGGGTGGGGGGGGGTTTCGGCAGGAGTTGGTCGTTTCAGTGATCCTCGAGCCGCCAGCTGTACGCTTGTGCTGTCCGACGGGTGGAGTTTGGCTGCAGTCCACAAGACAAAGACAAAGTGATGGGGGACGGAGCGCTGCTGTACCGGAGCCGGACTTAACGTGACTGAAGGTTGGTTAACTGTGAAGCCTTTTAAGCCTCGTGTAGTTTTGTTGTTAGGATAATTACTGGAAACACACCAAGTCCTCGTACCGAATTCAAGCTGGTAACTGAAAGGCTGTCTTAGCGGAGCATGAACTACCGGACAGCATCGTGGAGGACTGAGCTGAGCGCAAGCGGGCTAACGTTAGCAAAACGAGGCGATTCGCATAAGGAGGCAAATTTGAGCCTCACTGTTAGCTCAGAGGCGACAAGCTAACTTTATCCTTGGCTTCTTGACATCATTGTGCGTTCAGGAGTCTTTGAGTTTCGCAACCGAGCTCTTGCTTATATCGCTTTAATAGCCTCCTCGGGGTTGAGAGGCGGCCAAATTGTCCTAGAAAGCGTCAATAGCCGTTAAATAATGCATGAGCCGCGCTAATCCAAAGTGTTTTGTTTTTTTAAATTGAGGACGGAGCCTGTCGTTAGCCGCCCGACTGCAGCATCAGCAGCTGGTACGAGAAGGGCCTCTAAGCTAACGTTATCGTTGCACCCCAGCCCATAACCGTAACATTTAAAGTTATCTGCTCCTTAGCAGAAAATAGGTGGGCGCTAACCTTATAAAGACCAGTGGTGTTTATTTATGTTCACGTTAGTATTAAGTTTGTACACCGGTAATATGTACTGAGCAGGCGCTGACACAAGGACACGTTGTCTGTCTTGCGTTATTAAATTACACAGACAGCAATCCGACCAAAGAGGTTTTAGTACTGAGACACAGCTGGTCCTGACCATGTGTTTACATCTTTCCAGGCCTTTGTGACTCCTGCCGAGCTCCCGGATCTTCACCACACAAGAAAAACCACCTGCTGTACCCAGCTGTTTTTGTCCCAGTGTTTACATTTTTTCCGCCAGCGGGAGGCATTTCTCAAACCGCAGAAAACATCTGCAACAAGGGACAGACAGTTTGTTAGCACACCTCCCTTAATTGTAACACCCCCCTCCCTTTCCCGGAACTCTTCTCCCGGAACTCTTCTCAGCCCAGTTCGAGGTGAATCTACTGAAATACTTAACACTGCCCAAGAGGGCAACAACAAGGTGGTCTCCTGTTTTTGTAATGATTCGCAGTTCAGTGCAAGGAGAAGCTCCATCCCCTAGTTGTCTTGATGAAGACCTTTTTCTGACAAAAAGGTAAAGGCCACTTGAGGCCGGGAGGTGAAGACCTGCACCTCTTCTCACATCTGCTCAATCCTGGGATTTTACACTGTTTTTGAACTGAACTCATCCAACTTCAAAGATGGAACTTTTCTTCAATCCTTTTGATAACTTGGTGTGTATCCTGCTGGGCATCTCCTTCACCGTGTGGTTCACCCTGCTGCTGGTCTTCATTATTGTGCCTGCCATCTTTGGGGTGTCCTTTGGTATCCGGCGTCTTTACATGAAAACACTCTTAAAGGTCTTTGAGGTAAGAGCTTGCTTCCTCGTGACTCAAAGTTTATTGCAGTCTGATGTGCTGTGGCAATCATAAATGTTGTGGATAAAGGTGTGTTTGTGCTTTTGTACAGTTGACCGTTAAAATGATTGCCTCTGCTGCCAAGCACAATGGCAAGGACATAAAAGTTGCTAGCATTGTTCCTCAAATATGTCATTAAAATTTTATCTTAGTTGTAAAAAGGAAATAAGTTGTAGAAAACAGCGATTGTTCACTGGCACGTCTACAGCTTTATTTGTGCCTTTAACAACTGACCAGTAGGCATTGTCTGACTGATAGAGATCAACACCACAGCCACTTCCCTTGTTATACAAGTTTAGAAAACAGTGCTTGTCAGTAAGTGTTGTCTCTGCTTACTGAATTGCTGTCGTAACTTTAAAGAAATACATTTGAACTCCTAATAATGGCACAGTGCATCAGCTGCTCTGCCCAGTTGTGTCACTAGTAAAGCAGTCATTACTCTCCTCTGAGAGCAGAACTTGTGCCAGAAATAAATGAACCACTGGAAGATAATCAGATGTTCTTAGCTCATGATTCAAGGAGCAGCAGTGAGATTTCCAGAAAAGAACAGATACGACCGAGAGCGTGCAAGGCCAGAGAATGAAGATGTAGCACATGGATTTGGTTCACTAGGTTTGATGGAAATAAAAACATGAAACCTGCCATGTTTGTGTATAGACAGTTTTAACAGAAAACCTAAAATGATACTTTGTTTTTGCAGTTACTTGTCTGAAGAATTTGCTTTACTGTTAACCAATGAGTGTATAAATGGCAATACTTCATGAGATATGTACATGTAGCAGTTAGGACCTTTTCGCTCGCATGCAGCTCGGGAGCTACATGCTGCAAAGCAGCTGCTTTATTTTGGTCCTCATCTTTTTACTAGAAGGAGCCGCTCTCTGTTTACTCTTGCAGTCTCCACTGACAACTGCAGCTGCATTTTCATATGATGACTCGGTAAGACAACTTGTCACGACACAGTTTAAAGGTAGCTGTAAAAGAACAAAATAAAAAAGTGAAAAACCTTGGTTGACTAGTGTTGCTTGTGTCAGATTTGACTAATGATGGCTTGTGTAGAGCCTTCATTACTAGAGTTAATGTTAATTGTTGCTGTAAAATAAAGTTATTTTTAGGAAATTTAATAAAACATCTTAGTTATCCAGCCTAAATAAAGGTGTTTAGGCTTTCTGTGATTTAGAGCCAAAAGTTTGAAAGTGTGTGAGATGTCCAGCCACCAAGCGTTCTTGTTTGTACCAGTACTTTTGACTAATTTGAGTTTTAGCAGACTTTCATGCCTTACTGTGTTTGAGTACTTACAAACATGCAGTTTTGTTCCAGTGTCAGTTGATTTTCTTATGATTGATGCAGAAAACCCTCAAAGCTGCCAAAATTCTGCAGGCTGTAGGCACAGGTGAAACTGATCGAGCACAACCCGGTCACTCATTTCCTGATATCCCCCCCAAACACACGCACACAAACAAACATGTTGTTTTCCAGCTTGGGAGAACACTGCGTTCTTTGATGCACTTCATTTAGTTTTTATCTCAGCTAGCACAGCATACGTAAATGACTAGATGTTTGCGTCATAGGAAATATTTTTGACATTTATTGCAGTATAATACATGTTAAACAGGGAGTAGTCTGCATTTTAGTGTTTCTGCTAGCACAGATAAGTCAGAAAAATTGGAGAAGTACTACACACGGAAATCCTTTTTTCTTTTTTTTTGAATAAGCAAACATTGGGTGTCTGAAGATAAGCATGATATACTTGATCAACACTGGGGAATTTGGCCATTTTTAATCATTTGTGCAAAAAGGAAAAACAATAGATGTAATATTTCTTTTTGTGGGAAAAGTTCATTCATATTGCCTCTCGAGCAGAAACGAGTATCGGATATTGGCTTGCTTAAAAATGTGACCATTTGTCCATATAAGATTCCTTCTGCTGCCAGATGTTTGACCTTTCTTTCATGTAATGTAATGTTGCAATGATGATTGAATGCAAGGCTGAAACCTGTCTTTAAAATAACAACTCTGCTGATAACCAGTGCGCACATGTTTTCATTTTAGATGCCTTTAGGGCAGGGTGTCGGGAATATTTGTGCACCTCTCTAGAATGAACTGGGGGTTTTTTTATTTCTCAAACATTTTTGCGTCTCTTTCTAATTGTAGATCCATTTCTTTCTTTGTTTCTTTCTAGTGGGCCACACTTAGGATAGAGAGAGGAGCAAAAGAAAAGAATCACCTCCTGTACAAACCCTATTCAAATGGTAAGATCATTGTGTTTTCTTGGAAATATTTGTTCAAAAGATGTATTTGTTTTAGAGGTGAGTATTTTTGACTTTCTGTCTGTCTGAACTATTCCAGCTATCATTGCCAAGGAGCCAACCTCCTTGGAGGAGGAGATCAAGGAGATCCGGCGGAGCGGCAGCAATAAAGACCTGGACTCAGCCACTGAGTTTGAGTTATCTGACATTTTCTATTTTGCCCGGCGAGGAGTGGAAAGCATCATGGATGATGAAGTGACCAAGCGGTTTACTGCTGAGGAGCTGGAGTCCTGGAATCTGCTGACCCGGAGCAACTACAACTTCCACTATATCAGCCTGAGGCTGACTGTCCTATGGGGGCTGGGCCTGCTGATCCGCTATGGTTTCCTGCTGCCTCTCAGGTATTAGCTGTACTTTGAAGAGTCACAGGCAAAAGCACAGTTGCTGCTTTTGAAATACCAAAAACATGGATACACACAATACATTAGCCCCTCCTGTACAACTAGGCACTGGTATAACCTTGACACAAATGCTAATGCTAGCATAAAAATCTGAGGAATTTAGTTTGAATAGTTTTCCATATTTTAGTTCGTCACAAACGCTCAACGATATGAGAAATATGTTACGTAT